GGGTCACCGCCGGCGAGCGCGGCCTCCCGGGGTGCAGACGGGTGTCCTCCCTGGGCTGGTCAGGGGAGGGCGGGAGGAAGGAGAGAGGCTGAGGAAGCTGGACTCCCATCCGGGGGCTCCACCCCCATCACCTCCCAGAGTCCCCGCCCCTGACACTGTCACCCTGCGGGCGGGTCTGATGTCCTCCTCAGGCGACTCTCAGTGGAAGGTGCGCCGCTGGCTGAGCACGGGGCGCGTGCGGGCCACCCCGAAGCCTGGGCGGCCCTGAGGGCGCCGGCCAGGCACCCGCCTCCCACGGCTCGGGCTGGGGCGTCGACAGGCATCACATGGGGCCTTTGTGCCCTTCCCCACTGTAAGGCCCAGGTTTCTGAAGCACCTTCGTGTAAATCAATAAACTTGAACAATATTATACAGAAAAATAAGATGGGAAGACGACAACATGTATGTTCAATTGTCACTAACGTGACGTCGATCGGACACGGTGAGAGCGAGGGCTGCTCCGCACGCACAGACGCGGCAGGAAGACACCCTTCGATTCAACACGCGCCAAACGCTCAGGTCCCGCTGCCAGGTCCCCTGGGGCCCCGGGCCTCGTCCGAGGCTCATGCTCCCTGGAAGTGGGTGTTCTCAGAACAGTGACCTTGGGTGCATTAGAATCAAATAGAGGGTAAAAAAGTACTACGTCAAAATGTGGAGATGATAAATCTTCCTTTAAATAAGATCTAGACAAACTTCCTAAATCCATAGGTGTTTATCATCACAAAGCCAAAATGTCTTCCACCGGAATGACTCTCAAATTTTGTGCCGACAACGTCAGTTCTGAGGGGCGCAGCCTCTGAGGGGCGCAGCCGTTTTAAAGGAGGCGAAGCCGCTGTCGCCGCCGCGCTGTTGGCTGCTGCTCACGCCACACCTTTCCTCGGGGCCTACAGTTCAAGGCGGGTGCCTGGAACCCAGTGACTTTTGGTTTGCAACGGAAACCGTTCTGCTTTCTGCTTTTTAGACATTTTAATCAAAAAGGTTAGTTTAGGAATCACACCCACAGCCACTGTCAGGCTCACTCTGCTCACTGGGTGCTGGGGGGACGGGCCGAGGCTCTGCCGCTGCACCCGCGGCTGTTCGGGCTCGTCTCTCCTCCTTCCTCCCCAGGCCACCAACCCGCGGGGCCGAGTCACGGGGTCGGGCGGTGGCCCCGACCGGTGTGTCCGTGGACACACCCATGTTGCTGCCTGACTAAGTGCAGGTCCGATGCAGCCTGGACTCTCCCCACCGTGTGCAGTGACTCATTTCCCAGGTGCCCCTGCGCTCACGGGACACATCCTGGTGACAAAGCTCAGCTCCCTTCCCGGTCCTTGATGCCTTGGCACCCCCGCCAGGAGCCTAGGAGGACGCGCCCCGCCCCCGCCGCAGCCCCTCACCGCCCCGCGTTCCCGGTCCCAGGAGGCACCGCCCCAGCTGCGCAGCGAGGAATGCGCCCTCCTCCCCGATGTCCCTTCTCCCGGGCCAGGTGGATGCCAGGTGTGCCAGGCGCGCCGGTCCCTCCGTGACGCCATCGAGCAGAGGGGGAGGGACAGTGCCTACAGCCCCCCCGCCTGGAGGCCCTGCTCCATCCGCACTTACCGGGTGGGATCTGGTCTCTGTTTATGTCGTTTTCTTGTTTTGTTCAGAGACGGTGCCTGTACTTCAGCAGCCGACGACTTTTTTGGGTGTCATGTGATTGAAATAGAAAGACAAAGGATGAGAGTGTGATTTCCTCCCTTACACACATTTGAGACGGCGGGGCCCGGGCACCCCGCCGTGCGGCGCGGCGCTGAGTCGGCGGGAGAGGCCTGGCTGCTCTGGCCCCCGCCCGCTGGGCCCCGCGGCTCGCGGGCACCGGGGCAGAAGGGGCCTCAGTGAACAGCACAGAAACGCGGCGTTCAGTGGGGGTGAGACCAGCGCCCTGTCAGCCGGGACGGCCGCTGTCCCTGGGGGGCCGAGGCTCCCCGGGAGGGGGCCGTGGGGAGGGACACAGCCTCCCCTTCCGGGTGAGCCGCACGGCCCTCCCCTCTGCCCTGTGACCTGTGCCATCTCTGCCGGACACTGGGGACTCCGTGGCGCAGACCGTGGGCACCTCCAGAGCCAGGTCCTCCCGATTCCTCCTGAGACTCCGGCTTCTTCCTTTTTTAAAAATGCACACCTGTCCTGCGAGAAGGACATGTAATCGCAGCCGCTGGTCGGTGTGCCTCTCCCCCATCCCCATCTCACCCTGGAGGTGTTTGCTGTCCAGCTGGGCCTTCCGGCGAGTCCCTCCTTTTCCGGGGAGGAGCTCAGCTTCCTTGGAGCGGGTCACTGTCTCCGGCTGCCGGCTTCGCTGCTCACCCCGGGCCAGGGGCACCAGGACGGACGCCCACCGCCTCCACCACGCACGCACGCACGCACGCACGCACACGCACGCACGCACGCAGACGCGCGCACGCACAGGCGCGCGCGCATACGGGGCCGGGGCCGGGGCCGCCCGGGAGTTGAGTGTGGCTCTCAGCGGCCCACGCTCCCACCTTGACCCGCGTTCGCTGCCGGCGAGCTGCTTCCGAGGGTATTTTTAACTGTGTTCTGTGCTCTTCAGCCATGTTTTCCCAAGATCTTATGGACAAGTCTGGTAACCGTCGCCGAACCCCGCCTCGGTGCCCGCAACACACGCGCGTCGCCAGTCGCTCCGCGTCCCCCCGGCATGGGCCCGGGGGCCGCTGGGTTGTCTTTCTCTACCACCGTGCGGTCACTCGTTTCAATATCCCAGGACGGGCTGCTGGAATTACGGGGTTAAAGGGGAAGCTCCGCAGGCGCTTTGACATTATTGCCGCCCTGCATCACCAAGTGCTTACAGCATCCCAGCCAGGGCGCTCCGGACGGGGAGCGTCTTTTAACGCCCGAGGCGCCCGGCCCGAGGCGCCGACGAGCGCTCGCTGCGGGGCAACCTCTGCCTCACCGCGTGTGTTCCCGAGACGAGGCGGGAGCCTGGGGGTCCCCCGCCGTGGGCCCCGGTGAGGCTGAGCGGAGGCTCGAGGCTCAGGCGGCCTGGCCGGGGAGCGGGGGCCCCTGGGGGCGCGTGTAGTGCAGGGCACGGGGCCTGTTCCTCAGATTTTGCATTTTGCGGTGTTGTCTCTATCAGAGTTTTTCGGGAATCTCAAAGGGTGGCTTTTACTAACATAAGTAAATGATGGGAAAGTCGTACCTGAAGGGTAGCCTACGTCCCAGGGGTGGCCCTTCTGGGGAAGCCCCGGGGCGCCTAGCCCCGCCCGGGCTGGGCGCGTGTCTGCGGGCGTGAGACGCAGGAAGGTGCGTCGAGGCCGGGCCGCCTGGAGATGCGTGAGGAGCCCTGGCCGGCGGGCGACAGGCCCCGAGGGCCCGGGAGAGCGGACGGCCGGGAGCTGCTCGGGACCAAGGGGCCGCCACGGGCACGTGCGTGAGGACGGGGGCGGCGCGGGCCTCGGCTGGAGCGGGGAGGCCGGCGCCGCGCGTTCGCGCCCCCGGAACTCCCGGGCGTGGGCGTCGCTGCCGCGGGAGGCTGCGGAGAGGGACTCCCTGGTCTGCGGCGGGACCTGCAGTCGGCGTGCGGGTCCCCGCGGGGCAGGCAGGGCCCCCCGCAGGGCAGGCAACGGGCCGCGAAGCCGCGGAGCGCAGCCCCGGCAGCGGGACGGGACGCGAGGGAAGACACAGCCCTCGGCGAGAGACCCCTCGTGCTACGGCTGTGGCAACACCTTTTTATTTAGAGTAAGATGTGTTAACATCCAGCATGACAAAATTTGTACAAAGTTCACAATTTAAAAATGAAGTATCACTGCAACTGTGATTCCACACATTTATAGCAAAATTAAAGTGTCAACAAACCCATGCCGTGTCGTACAAAAATAAATCAAACTTCAGTTCCACAGAGAGCACAATAAATATTTATACAAAATTCTGTCTTAATAAATGATTGCTTAAATTAACTTAGAAATGAATATGAACAATAAGTTATAATAAATAAACTCTGATGACTCACAATAATTCCATATGAAAGGTCAGCATTCTATATGAGACACTTTGGGGATCCCCTATATAATAGTCACAGATAACTTTGATTTGATATTATTACCAACGTTAGATGAGCAGCAGAATTGTGCTTAAAACCCCTTTCCATTGTACATAGGTGATAACAAGAAGAATCCAAAACCGAGACTACCTATCACTCTACTAAAAGCATCACTATATTGGCAAAGCAGCTGCAGACACGACGGGGGATGCAGACGCCGGCCCGGACAGCAGCCGGCGCCGGGCGGCCCGGGGGGCGGCAGGTGCCGAGCACCTGGCTTCAGCTCTCGAAGGCATTCTGAGCATGGCAGCTACAACTACGCGCTAGCAGACAGCGGCGCCCCGGGGGCGGGCCACGGCCCGGGCGCGCCGTCTTCCCCAGCTCGCGTCGGAGTCCTCGCGGGAAACGGAGCGCCTGTCCGGGGAGCCGCGTAAAGTGCCGCTGGGGTGTGCGCACATCTATACACATATACACCGAGGTCGAGGATGGGATCAGAGCGTCTGCCGGGAGGGCCCGCCGCCTCCCGCCGTGCCGTCGGGTGGGCCGGGGCCTCCTCCAGTCCCTCCGGGGTCAGCGCCGCGCGGCCGCCGACGCGGGAATTGCACACGTCCGCACGGATACATAGGACAAGGTGAGTGCAAATAGTCGACTGGCACGTTGTGGGGACAATGACCCTGTAAGTCCTGTTCTGCTAAAAATATTTTTTTTTTATTTTTACAAAACCCATCTTTCCTTTTTTCATAACAAAATTTTAAAGTACTTTTGTACTTCCTGCATAACATCAAGACATGGAAGGAAGCAATGCCGTAACGTGAATCAAGTCAACGCCAGAGAACACGACGCGTCCCAGGGGCCACTCGGGGGGCGGCGCGTGGCCGTCGGCGGTCTCCGCGCACGGCTGGTGCCGGCGCCGCGCAACACGGTCCGTCTCCGGGGCGGGCGAGTCTAGGAGGGTCTCTCGTAAAGGAAAAGTGCTGAAGTACATTAATTACTCTTAAACTCTGATTGCATCCATTTCCGGAACAGCTCATGACAACTCAACAACAAGGCTAGGCAAACGCCCTAGGGTCCGCTGGTCTCCAGCCACAGGGGCCGAGGTTGTGGCAGGAGAGCTCGGGATGGGACCAAGCGCTCGGGCGAGGCCTCGGCAGGCAGGGCCGGGCGGCGCTGCAGAGCCGCTCTGCCACTGAATCCAGCAGGACAGTCAGTCCAGTGGCTCGGAGGCTCCCAATCCGCGTCCCTTCCTGCCCCAAAGCAGAACAGCAACGACAAGAACAACGGTAACAGCTGGTCAGAGCAGAAGGGGGAGCGCGCGCTCCAGTGGCCTTCGAGCACACAGGCGCGGCTGCAAGAGCCGCGTCGCAAGGGGAGGCAGTTCGGGGCCGGGCCGCGCCTGGGGAGGCCACAGGCGGCTGTTCCAGAGTTTATCGGACACGGACAAGGACATCTTCGCGGCGTCTGCCTCTCCCAGGCCCCTGTCTCGCGGGGGTCCCAGGGCCACAGTGTGCATGCTCGGCAGCCGCCTTAAACGCGCTGTGTGAGCTGCTTCGAGTCTTCTGCCAAGTTTCCATGGCTTGATGTTGTCTTACAATAAATTACTTATCTCTTACAGTTAGTCCATATGCCATTTCCTTGGAATGCAAAAAACCTCATTTATTGCCCCCACCATCCACCATCCTCCTAAAACAGACAAACAAAAAAATCACATAATATTTCCAAGCATTGTTCAAAAATAAAGCATTTTTTTGCAACCAATTCTTGCTATGAAACAATATGCACACAAAATGTATTTCTTAAATTCCATAAAATCCTCCAACATGAGGCGAAATGATAATGTCTAAAAAGTGGCTGAGGTCACCTCAGGGTCACTCGAAGCTGTGTGTGTGTGTGTGTTTTGTTGTCCATTTCAGTTCAAAATACTAAAACATTTAATCGCTAGAGCATTAAAAAGAATTTACACTCTATTTGTTTTGATCGGCTTACCTCTTCAGAAATATAGATCCCCCCGGATGTGCATACATTAGCAGCTATAAACATTACATGGGATATCACACTATGTCAGCTTATATGAAAACGTACAAAATGTGAATGTATTCAAAAACTATTCTGCAGGTGCTATCTTCAGAGCAAGACATAAAACCATTGTGGAGTCTCAGGAGCAGGACACTGTTCCAACAGGAACAGGGACAGAACAGCTTCTGGGAGGTCACAGCAGCGAGAGACAGAGGCGTCCTGTTAAGAGGTTCCGTCACTACGGCCACTACAGCAGCTGTTCAGACCTGAATTCCTCTCACAGCCCGCTTTATATTTTCCAGTAGGGCTTTATTTTCTGGGCTCTGATAACGATCTTGATTTGTATACATGTCCGTCAAAGTAGTCACGTATGCATCAAAATTTTGTTCATTGATTGGGTCCTACGAGATATCAAATAGTAGTTCATACACAGCTTTCATTTCCCCAATAGGACATTCACATCAGCATAACACAGCATCACAGCACGGGCCTGCGGAGGCCTCCCCGGCAACCGCCGTCTACGCCCGGCCGCGCCGGCGGGGGGCGGTCGCCCGGGGCTCACTTACCATGTGCGGCAGCTGGATGTTGGCGAGGCTGTGGATGAGCGACTGGCTCAGGCTGGCCAGCTCGTGCAGGAGCGACTCGTTCTGCTGCTCGATCGCCTTGTTCTCCTCCTCGATGCTCTTCAGGCTGGTCTCCATCGTGGTGATCTGCAACACAGGCGCGGGGGTGGGCGGCGCAAAGGCCCTCTGGCGCGATAACGAGGCTCCGGGGCGAAGGGCTTGTTCCTCGGGGGGCTCAGCCCTCCGGCCTGCGGCCCGTTCCCCTCGGAAACGTGGGGCCGCGCGGGCCAGGCGCGCCGGCCTTTCGGAGCGGGTCGTGGTTGGCGCGGGCAGGTTCCCGGCTCGGGTTCCTGCAAATCCTGCTGGCCCCGCGTGCGGACCACCCTGGCGGCTGTTCCCTCCGGGCTCCGGTTCCCTCCTCCGGGAAGCTCTCTGGCCCCGGCACATCGGAGACACCGGCATGTCCGGGGCACTTCCCGGCTCCCTGGCCTGCTCCGCCCTCCCCTACGTGCCTGCTCGTGCTTCGGGGCGGAGCCCTGCCGACCCCACCCGCGCAGGACCAGCGCCCACGGAGGGACCTACAGACCAACAGGACAGGCGGGCTCCCGGGGTCGGAGGAGGGTGGCCCCACGCAGCTCACAGAGCACCTTGCGAGGCCGTGGGGACCGGGCAGGCCATGCCCACGCCTGCCAGCCACCCTCCGGGCCACTCCCACGTGGGGCGGGGCGAGCACCCATGCGGAGCTGGGGCCGGGACCAGCTCCCGGGAACCACACGCGCTGCCCCGAGTCCTGGCCCCACAGCACCGAGACGGAGCCCTGGTTTTGCCAAAGGCTTCCTGCGCGAGGCCCCAGAAAGCAGGGCGGCGGGCGCTCCCCGCGGCGGCTGTGGCAGCAGGAGGCCCCCGGCCAGTCCGCAGTCCGGGGCCCCAGCGGTCACCGCAGCGGCTGTGGCGCCATCGGCACAGCTGGGTGCGCGCACGGGGTTCTGCAGCTCGGGCTCCGGGCCCTGGGCCTCGCCCTCCGTCCTGGGCCTCGGGGGCGGCGCCAGTGCGTCACCGGGAGGGACGGGGACCTTCAGCCCCCGAGCCGAGAGAGGCGAGAGGGCGATGTTTCTGTCTGACCGCGGGCTGGGTCCTCGCGTGTCGCTGCCAGAGAAGGGCCTGGCGGGTGGAAGGAGGCCGTGGTGCGAGGCCTCCGGGGGCACCCCCGCCAGACCTGGCAGCCAGCCGGGCGCTGAGAAAAGCCAGAGGCCTGGAAACAGGTCAGGAAAATGCTCACCGGGCAGGCGTGGGCCCGGGGTGCCAGCGGGAGTGGGTCGCGGGGCCAGGCCGAGGGCGCCGCCCCCCCAGCCCACTGGCTACTCTGGGAACGAGGACCAGCAGGCAGCGGCCTCGTGTGGATGCCCAGGGCCCGGGCCAGTCCCTGGCCGGCCTCAGCCTCGCCAGGGCATCCGTAAGGGCAGGTGGGAGGGGCCCCCCCTTCCCAGCAGGACAGCAGCCCTGCCTGCCCTGCAGGGCCAGCGCGAGGGGCCCCTCGGCTGAGGCCACACGCACCCCGGACCCGAGCACTGCGGAGGCGCGGCAGCACCATGGGAGCCCAGAGGGCGGCCCGCGGCCCGCGCTTGGCCAGGCAGGTCGGCTCTGCGAATCTCGGCGCCAGGCGGGTCGGTGAGTCCCGTGACGCCCACCTGCAGGGCCGCGGCGGGCGGCCTGGCGATGCCCTGCCCCCCAGCATCTGGTGGCTACCCCGCCACCTGCCCACCCGCAGGCTGCCTGCCATGCGGCCTGGTGCCTGGGGCCCTGGGCCCTGGGCCCCGAGGGCGCACGGGGTGGCCTCTGGCCCCGCGGAGCCGACGTCCTGCCTGAGGCCCTGGGGCGCGGGGCCAGCCCCCCGGCAGGGGTGGGAATGGGCACGGCTGCGTTGCTGACAGAGCATGTGACCTCAGGGAATGGCCACCTCTCAACACCACGCAACAGCGGCCGGGTGGCCGGGGGCCCCTGGGCTCCAGCGCCGCGGCCCCCAAAGCTGCGGCGGAAGACGGGGAAGACTGGGTGAGAGAGTGACGGAAGAAGGGGCCGGGCGGGAGGCCGCGGCCGGCCCCGCACGGGCGGCAGGGATGGGCTCCGGGGCCGTTACCTGCGTCCTGAGCTTGATCATGTCGGCCTCCATCTGCGAGTTGGACTCGCTCAGCTCCTTGATCTCCTCGTCCAGCTGCTTGATCTCCTCGTCGTTCTCGATCCCTGTCAGGGCGGGCGGGGGGCGGGGCGCGTTAGGCTGTGGCCGGGAGGCTCAGGGCGAGGGTCTCCTTTGCTCTGTGTGTTTGGGATGGAGTTTGCTGGGGGGGGAAATGCCCTTGAGTTTTAAGAATCATCCCGTTTGTCAATCACTATTAAGGTGCCTGAAACCACCCTGCACCGAGAGGTTGACCCCCCGAGGGGGACGAGCTGGAGCCGCGGGGGTGGCCCCCGGGCCAGGGCCGGGCTGGGGGGACCTGGGGCAGCCCCTGACCCGCCGGCTGCCTTAGCCGCCCCCGGCCTCGCTCCCTGCCCCTCCCACGCATCCCCAGCAGGGTCTCTGCCCTCACCAAGCCTAGTCTTGGGGTCAGAAAACCTCGGTCAGGCGTCACCCCAAACCCGACTCGGCCGCGCACTCAGGACCAGCTCCCCGACTGAAAGGACAAGAGCAACGGAGCAGTGACAGACCCGAGGTCAGCGGTCACAAAGGGCCACCTTCGGGGATGACGCGACCCCTCAATTCTGAATGACCGAACGCGAGCATGGGAGGGCGGGCCGGCGGGGGCACAGCGCTCCGTGTGGCCGGCGGCACACGGCCGGACAGAGGCTCGCTTGGCCGTTGGGCTCCGCCCCGGCACCGGCCAGGGTCAGAACCACCCAGGCCCCTCTGCGTGTCCTGGGGGAGAGCAGAATCGGGCGGATGCAGGGGCTCCGGGCGCCCAGGGAAGGCTCCCAGTCCCAGCGGGCACACGGCATGACAGCCATCCCCGCGCAAACCGACGGGAAAGGCTGAGCCCGGCTCCGCGGGCAGCTGGGGCTAGCGCCATCCTCTGTGCCACACGCGGCACGGCTGACCTGAGAGGGGAGGCCCCGGACACCGGAGACGCCGCGGAGACCAGCACGCGGACGGCTCCTGTTGGCTCGTCCCGCACAGCAGCCGTGGGGCAGAGCATGCGGCGCGCCCGTCCTGAACTCCCACGCGGTGGCCCTTTCTCCCCGTGAGTCGGCCTTGCTGTCGAGGCGAGCTGCTCTTCCCGCGGCCAGATCCTCCCTCGGCCGCCACCCAGATGGACCCGGGTGACTGTGAACGTGAAGCCCTGGGTCTCGCTTCCATGAGCCCTGAGCAGCCACTTCAGCCCCCACGACGTGCCCGCAGCCGCTGAGGGCCCAGAAACCGACAACAGCTCCCTCCTCCTCGAGCGCACGCCCACGGCTGGCGCAGGCTGGGGTCCGCACTGCCTCGGGGGGCCACGCGGCCGCCTCCCCCTCTGCCGGAGCGGACTCTGCCGGCGGCCTCCTGCAGCCGGGCGCAGGGCTGGCCGAGCGAGCGAGGGCGTGTGGCACGCGGGAGGCCGGCACGCGGGAGGTGGCCGGAAGAGCTCCGCCTGCGGTCCCTGTCCCCGCAGGACCACCCAGGGCAGGGCGGCCTTGGCGTGTAAAGCAAGTGCATTGTGGCTCAACTCGTCGTTCGACAAGATCTCGAGCAGGCTGTCCAAACGTGCAGACGCGGTGGCCAGACGCTGCGTCAGTGGGTTCACCACGAGCTGGGGCCGCGCCACGCGGGGTAGGGGCCTCCTACCGAGAGCCAGCTCACCAGGGGACTGTTCGGGCTGGGGACCGCTCCTGGTGGGGAGGGGGCGGGCGGAGGGGAGCTGCCGGACACGCTCATTACACATGGAAAAGGGCGCATGACCTCACGTGAGTGTTTACACTCTGCATCTTCGAAAAAAGACAGGGAGAGAGAAGTCCCTCGTCGGGAGCTGGCAACGTGCAAACCGGATGTTTGGGTCTGGAGGGACGTGCACGGTCACGGCTCCCGTCGGCACGCTGGGCCCTCACCGAAGGGGGTGACGGGGTGAGCAGGATGGGCCGCTGGTCTTTCTTATTTTTTTAAAGACGATATTTACTTATTTTCAGAAATGGGGGAGGGGCGGAGAGAAGCATCGATAGGAGAAACATCGGGTGCCTCTCCTATGCGCCCCGACCGGGGACTGAACTCGCAACCTTGGGATGCGTCCTAACCAAGGGTCAAGTCAGCGAGCTCGCGATCTGCAGGACACCGCCCACCCCAGCGAGCCCACGGTCCGGGCTGTGGCTCCGGTCTCGGCACCAAGGAGCCCCAACAGGCGAGGACAGGAGGGCCGACAGCCGGCTCTGCACGGACCTGGGCCTGGGAGGGCCTGGCGCTCACCCTCCGCTGCTCTTCCCCAGGTTACCTGGGCTTCAGCGCCCACACCCGGGGCCCTGCGTGTGCCAGAACCTGCCGCAGGAAGAAATGGCAAACTGGGTTCGGATGCAGGGAAATGGGCGGACGGCGGCGGCCCAGCGGGCGACACTGCTGAGCAGGGCAGCGCCGGTGCCGGTCGCCCAGCGGAGGAGGCCGGGGTCTCGACCCCTGCGCTGAGGAGGCCCGGCTGGCCCGTCCGGCGCTGGCTCGCATCCCCCGCCACAGCAGGCTCTTTCTGACTGACCGCGAGGCCCGCGGGTGCATGGCGGGGGGGGGGGCTGAACGTCGGGTGCGTGATGTGGAGGCGGCCGTCAGAGGCCCAGAGCTGCCAGGTTGGGGCTCCCTGCTGTCAGCCCGGTGCCCAGCCCGGTGCCCCGCCCGGTGCCCCGCCCGGTGCCCCACGTCTCTGCGGGCGGAAGACCTGCCCTCCCGACCTGTCCTCCTTGTCCTCCCGCCCACCCTCCGTCGAGCGGCCGCTTCCTTCGCTAACGAGGCGAACCTGACCCAGGCGCCTACGGCTAAGCGAAGGTTTTGGAAGTTTGTAAACGGCATTTTCTCCTCGGCAGTGGGCACTGTGTCTCAGAACGGCTCTCTCAGGCGGCCGCTGGGACCGCAGGGCAGGGGTACTGGCCGAAGGCCCATCTCCCCAGCACGGGAGCCCAGGCCCCAACACACATGGTGGCCGCTGTCTTCCCAGCGGCTGGTGGGCCACACGTCCGTGTTGCCCTGTGGTGCCAGGGCTTCGCCCGAGCGGGGCTGCGCGTCCCCCAAGATCCGCTTGGGGCTGGGAAGGGGCCCACAAGCCGTTCCCAAAGGCGGCCGGAGTGCGACTGCTGACCAGTGGCACTCGGGGCTCCTCCCGCGGAGCTCTGCTTCCCACGTCTCGCCGGACAGACCCTGAGCGCCGCTCCGGGGGAGACACAGACCCCCGGCCACGTGGAGCCAACGCCAGGCGTGTTTCTGTTTGAAACTCCCTGGCTGACGCACACTGTGGACTCAGAGACACTGAAGTCCACCGGGACTTCCGATGGCCACTGGCAGCCGGGGCGGAGGCCACCGAGGCCAGTCACCCCTGTGGCAGCCTCGGGCACCTGGGAACGTGGACGCCCTGCAGCACTGTGCCCGGGCCATTTACACAAAGAAAGCACCACCCAAGAGCTCGAAGGTCGGAAGGCACAGCGCTCGTTCACGAGCTGAGCTGGGGCCACAAGGCAGGGCAGCTGTGCCTCCCGGCCAGGAGGGCGCCTCGGCCGGGGCTCCCCCTCTCCTCCGCTCCCCGCGTCCGTGTGTTGCCCTGAACACGCCCGAGCACGGGTTTGGGGTTCACCAGTACCTCCTAGCAAGTCTGTAAGTCCACAACTACGGGGTCCACAGGGTCCCAAGGGCTGGTGCAGCCCCGTCCCCACACCCCGAGGCTGGGGGCCGCACCCGGAGGAAAAGGGAGTCTGCGGACACTCGGGAGCCCCGGCGCCCAAAGCGCAGTCTGCTGGGCGGGGGCTGGTGTGGCCTCTGTGGAGGCAGCGGGTTGGGGCTGGGGACAGAGGCACAGAAGTGGGGACACGGGGGAGAAGCCACCGGAACCCCTGGTGCGGGCCCCCTGCGGCTCGGCCCGTGACCTTGGTGCGAGGCCAGGGGGCCTGGGGGGCCTCATCGGAAGTGGCAGGACTGGTGCCGTCCCCTCTGAGGAGAGCTGGTCCCCGGGCAGCGCGGCGGCCTGTCCTGCGTGCGGTGGGGGGGCGGGGGCGGGGGCCGGGGGGCCGGGTTACCGTTGCTGGCGCGCTGCCGGATGGTCAGCATCTGCTCCCCGGACAGCTTTGCCTTCTTCATGGCCGACGTGGCTCGCGGGCACCCTGACAAGCTGGGGGGGAAGAGGGACACTGTCAGTCATGGGTCTGGGGGGGCGCGGGCGCAGGTGCGGGCGGAGGCGCGCGCGCAGGGCGGCCGGGCAGGAGACCCGTGGCCGTGCCTGCCTCCCGGGCTGCCCAGGACGCTCGCGAGCGACCGTCTCCCCGGCTGTGGAGCGCTGGGGAGGACTTAAACTGCGTCTCAACAGTCGAGAGTGGGGAGCAGGTGGGGAGCGCGCCGCCGGTGCCCGTCCTCTCGCCAGGCGGATCGGGCACCCGGGGACCCCCGCGCCTCCCGGGGGCTGCTTTTCAGTAGCTTGTTATCTCACCTAAAAGATTTAAAACTAATGCCAGTGTCGTCAAGTGAAGGGTTTGACCCCCTCATCTCCCTTGCTCAGGGGAGCTGGCCGGGGGGCCTCTCCGGGCTCCCGCCTCGCTGCGCGCGCTGCACCCTGAGCACCTGCGAGCCGCCCGGGGCGGCCGCCGCCCCCCGGGGCCCCCGGCACACTGCCCTCGGTGACTGAGAACCTGCACAGAAGGTCGTGTGTGTACGTCTATTCCCCACGTGACGACTGCAAGGTTCATCCCGACCTTCAGGGCTCCCCGGGCCTGGGCCCCCGCGCAGTGCGGCCTGTGGGTCCCTCCAACGCCAGCGACCGCGAGTCCCACAGATATCGGCAACAATGCCGGCCCAAGCGCAGCGGAGAGAGGCCCCCACGTCTCCCCGAGACACACTGCCGAACGTGATCTCGGTCGCAGACCCAGCGCAACGGGGCCTCGCCGCTGCTCGTGCTCCCTGGGGGATGCGGGCGCGGCCGGTGGGCGCGGGCCCTTCCTTCCACGGACAGTGCACGGGGTCCGTGGTCTTATCTGTTGTTCTTCCCAGAACCTTTGCTGGTGGCATTTCTAGACTTAACAAGGGACCGAGCAGTGGGCCTCCCACCCAGGTGGCGTCACCAGCCCCAGGCTCAGCCTTCTCCCTCCCTGTGACAAGCCAGGGAGCAGAGGCCTCCAGGACTCTGATGGCACCATGGGGGGAGGGGGCAGGGACGGGCGGGTACCGAGGCCCTGGGGTGCAGCCCTCTCCTGGGGGGCTCAGCACCAGCCCCCAAGGCCCGCCTGCCCAGGGACCCTCGCAGGGTCTCCTCAGGCCTGTCCCCTCCCCTCGCCCTGTCACCACGGTGACCTTTCCTTGTCCCTGTCTGGGCCCCTGAGGCTCTGCCAAGCTGCTGGTCCCCCCGGCTCATCCCTGATGCGACCGCCGTTGTGCAGAGGGCGACTTTGCCACACAGTGTCTGGAGGCCCGAGCTGCGTCCTGCAGGCCTTCCGAGACCGGGGTCCCTCTGCGGAGCCCTGTCCACTCACTCCGTGGGCGAGGACCCCGCAGCCTAGCAGGAGTGCGGGGGTCTGTGTCTGCGTCCGCTCCTCTCCTCCTCGAGTCTGTCACAAAGCAGGACAGTTGGCCCAGCATCTCTGAGCCCCTGCCCGTGGCCCCGCGGCTGTGGCCCCGCCCCCCAGGACGCAGGCTCTCAGGCCCCTGTGCTCCCTGACGCGCTGCTGCTTCCGCCCAAGCCTGTCCTCCGTGCCCAGGCCCTGTGCCGCCGCAGCGCGTGCTGCTCAAAGGCGGGGCTCTCGCCCGCGATCTCCCGCTGAGACCGGCAGAGCCAGCCAGCACGCTGACGGGGGCGAGGGGACCGGCAAACCAGCGGAGGAACGCGGCCCCGGGGGGCTGAGGGCCCCAACCCGCAGGCTGTGCCACACACAGACCCGAGACCCCCGTGGAGGTCTGTTGCTTCTCTCGGGTTTCAGTGAACAGGGCCGCCCGCCGGGGTGACAAGCAGCGGTGGGCGACCCGTCAGGCTTGGGAGGCTCCCCACAGAGCCCGGCCGCCAGGCAGGCAGAGTCAAGCTCAGGGCGCCCCCCGGCCCCCGCGGTCGTGCGGGCTTCTCCACCTGCACTGCTGGCCAGGCCCGGCCCGACCTCGGGCAGCGGGAAGCCGGTACGCGGCGCCCTCTGGTGGCCGCTCGAGAAGTCCTCACGCCGGAAGTGGGCGTCAGGCCGTCTCTGACCGGCTGCTCCGGGCCTGGGCTCCGAGAGCCACAGGATCCGAGGTCTGGCCGAGCTGCCCTGGGCAGCAAACAAGTCACCGTCCCTGTTGCTCCCCATCCCTGGGCCCAGCGTCAGCACGGGCCACTGGCCCCGGCACCAGGGAGGGTTTGAGGCAAAGGCAAAGCCTGCAGAAGCTTCAGGAGACAGCCAGCCTTCGGCATTTTTAGCAGGACACTGGTTGCAGAGGGACTTCTTCAGGAAGACAGCAGCGCTGAAGACAGCGACCAAGGAGCAGCGTCCGGCGGGCGCGCGTCCGCCGGGAGGAAGGTAAGTGCGCGAGGCGCTCGGCGTGCGGTTTGGCAGCGCCAGGGGGCGGCGGGCGGGGGCGGGGGAGCCGGAGAGGTCCTGCGAGGGACTCAGCTGCCCGGAGTGCAGCCCAGGCGCGGACGGCTCCACTCCCGCTGCCCCCTACGCGTGCGTCCTTTCACTAGTTACTGCTCGTTTTCATCTCCTCTCCCTCAGGGTGGGGGGGCCTGGTCCAGGAAGGGGAGCAGGGCGGCTGTAGAGAGGGCAGGGCTGCTCTTCATCGGGGACAAGAGGAGACCTGCGCTGGAAGCTCCAAGCGTCAGGTGTAGGAGCAGAAGACGAGGAGCCCAGTCCCGAGGGCCAGGAGTGGCCACCGGCCACACCCCGACTGCATGTGACAGCGAACTTTCCAACTACTGACAGCTCGTCCTGACAGAGGGGAGCTAAGTCTGGCCGGTCATCGCTGTGGTTGACTGCACCCCCAAAGACCGGCTGGCATCATGGCGCCCGGAACCTGTGAACGGGACGGTGTTTGGAAACGGGGCCTTTGCAGGTGCGGTGGAGGCCCGGTGCTGGCCCGTCGGACAGGCCGGGCCCTGACTCCCAGTGGTGTCCTTGCGGGACAGTGAGGCTTGGACACAGGTACAGGAGAGCGCGGCCGCAGGACGGTGGGGCGGAGGCCCGGGAGCCCCGCTGCTGCAGAAGCCGCGTGAGCGAGGGGAGCCTCTCTCAGAACCCACGTTTGAATTCGGGGCCTCGGGCAGGCGGAGCCAGGGAGGACAGTGCGGAGACGCCTGCGCCAGCACGGCCTGGGGGCTCCCGCGCCCCCGCTTCCTGACTGATCCTGGGCTGCTGGTGCGGCTTTCCACAGGACCCCCGCTCCCTTGTGCCGTGCGCAGCGAGCTTCTCCCAGGGTCTGGGTGGCGGGCGGCGGCGGCGGGGGACGTGGGTTCCAAAGGAGGGTGCCCCTGTGGCGGGGAGACTCGGGCGCCCCTCGGGCTGAGCGTGTCTTCGCCCAGCTGGGCGCCGCGTGGCTGGGGAACCGCCTCCTCAGGGCTCGCGGGGGAAGCGGGGGCTCGAGGAGAAGGCACTGTGCACTGAGAGCCAGGCCGGCTGCCTGCTCAGACCTGGGGCCGGGCGTGGCGGCCCCCGGGCGGCCGCTCACCTACGAACTCGAGTCGCTGGGGCGGAGAGCACCAGCACGTCAGGCCCTCTGCCGCGGGGGACAGAAAGAGGTGACGGGGCTGACAGGACTCCAGGAGGGGGCCCCACGGCACAAAGCGCTGCCTCTGCCACCGGCGTGCCCCAGAAGTCTGGCCTCACGCTCTCTGCGGCCCTTCGGGATTAGCGGTCAGGCGCAGGTGCCGGACCTGAGCTTCTCCCTCCCACAGCGCTCTCCGTCCGATGCTAAAGCTGGTGGACACAGCCGGAGCTGGCCTGTCGGAGCCGGTTCAGGGCAGCAGTCCGCGGCCAGTCAGCACGGGGCGGTGGCCGGGGACCTGCACGATGCGGGGGTGGGGGCTCCAGAGAGGAGCCTGGCAGGAGGCTGGCCTCCAAAGGCAGGGCGTCCCGGTCACCTCAGGGCCTGCTGTGCAGAGGAAGGGGCCCCGGGGCCGCGGGGCTGACAGCGCGCGCTCTTGGGCTCCGGCGGCTGCTCGGCTCCGACTCCCCTCAGGATGGGGGGCGCGGCCCCGGGCGGCGCGGCCCCCGCTCGGAGGGGCACAGCCGCTTCCTCGGTAGGCGCTCGCTGTGTGCCCGTCCTGGGGATGCCAGCCCTAGGCCAAGCGCGGGCCTGTGCGAATCAGGGGCTGTCCAGCAACAAAACCAGCCCCACGCGTGGGGCCGGAGACGGGGAGCCTCGTGCTTCCACAGAGAGTCAGGGTGGCCAGAGTGGACCGGGGGTGGGCGCCCGCTGACCCCCTGCTGCCCCAGGCCTGGCCGGCAGGTCCTGATGGAGACGGCGGGTGCTCCCGTGCCCCTCCCGGGCCCTCGGGCCTTTTCCTCCCTGGCTGAGGAGGAGGAAACCCCTGGGCCTCCTCGCCTGCCCGCCGCCGCTCTGTCCTGGGAGCAAGGCGTGAGCTCTGGGTGTTGGGGTGGTCGGCCCACCCCAGCGAGCACTTGCACTAAAGGAGGCGGCTGTGGTCACCCCGAGTGCCAAGGTGGTGGCTTGTTTCCACTGCCACCCTCTTGGAAGCACCAGCATGGGAACCACTCCGAGAAGGCTCTCGTCTATAGACGGCTGTGGCAGAATGCAAAATAGGTGCCCCAGGCCCCACGGTCCGGGTGCCACAGGTTTCTGAGGGTCCAGGAGAGAGGTAAACTGGTCACCGTGGCGAAGCCCCCCATGATATGGCCATGGGACTTGCGTCTAAGACTTGTGTTTGTTTCCGGGTCAGGACGTGCAGACTTAACTTTGGAGAACCTCCTGCGTCTTCCTGGCAGCGGCGTGCGGCCGAGGGGCTAGGAGAGCGGGCACCCCGGTAGATGCCCCCGTGCTGCCCTCTCCCGCCCCCGCCCCGCAGCGCTGTCCCTAAGTCTCCCGACGGCCCAGAGCCGGCTTCCGGACTCGGGGTCAGGACCGAGCGCGACGGCGGTCTGTCGCCCACCCGCGCTTGCCTGTGGATGATGGCGCCGGCCGCTCATCCTCTCATCTGGGGTTGCTGCCACCTCCGAGTGCTTGGGTTTAACCACAGAAACAGAACTTTCTGTTTGTGGCAGAAGAGCAGAGCACAAATACCGTTATTGTGTGTCATGTAACAGGGTCTTGAAATTAAAACATGATGAACGGCCAAAAGGTTGAAGGGGGCACTTTGGAGAGCGTTCTGTCGCCCCCCCGGGACTGTGCCCTGCGGCTGCGTCTGCAGAGGCACCTGCAGCGTCTGTAGCAGGCGGCCGGTGCGGTTCCTGGTGCCACCCACACCCGGGAGGAGACTGGCCGTCTGCAGGCTCTGAGCCCTGGGGGGGGGGCAGGGAGGAGGCAGCGGGAGGTCCCTGCACCCCAGGAGGGCGCCCAGGCGGCCTTTCTGCCCCGCTGCCCTAAGCAGACATCTAAGGAACCTGTGACCTATCTGCACGAGAAGAAAGGAGGTGGCGCAGGCGATGATGGGGTGGCGAGTGTGTCCTGGGCACGTGGGGGCCGCACGCCCGCGTGTGCTCCGCTCGGGGCCCCTGCTGAGAGGAGGCCCCGCTGCCGGCCTGCGGATGTGAGCTGAGGGTGGAGGTCAGGGAGTGGACATCCCCTCCTCCCTTTGCGCCCTTTTGTCTTATCTGAATTTTTTACATGAATTACTTCCTTAACTTAAAAAAAGTCTTCCTGGAAGAAAGTTAGGCCCCTTGCCGCACCCTCCCGAGCCCCATCCACCGTAGCTCCTCGCCCAGGCTTTGTTTGTTCTGTGCTGGGGGTGGGAGCTTTGCAGACGGAGTAGAGATGCCTGGGGCACAGGGAGGGTCGGCCCGAACCCCTCCTGCCAGCGCGTGGTGTCTCAGCCTCAGCCCGTTTCCTCCTCCGACCTCCCCAGCCCGGTGTCTGTGACGACCCGGACGCCAAGCCCGATCGGCGCAACGACCTCTGTCTGATTTGTCCACCCCAGGGGTCCTGACCCTTCTATCACTGGACTCAGCCCTCCAGCCACTGAATCCAGGGGCCGGGCTGCTGGACTCAGCAGAACGGACCCTCCTTCTACGACCTTCTGACCACACGTGGTTTTTCTTACACCGGGCAAAGCACAGCCGCTGGGGTGACTGTCTGCTGCGCCTGCGTCTCAGGCGGACCCTCCGCAGGTGTCTGAAAGCTGCTGTCCCCCTGTGCGGCGCTGCGCCCCCGAGCTGGCGCCTCCCAAACCAGCTCAGCTCCCCGCCACGCCCCCCACCCCGGCCCCTGCGCCCCCAGGGGCGCTGCTCGCTGCCAGGCTGTCCAGGCTGAGCGCCGAGCGGCGAGCGCGCACCGTGCCTGCCGACCCCAGCCCTGCGGGCTCCCCGCCGCCGGCGCCGGGCGCACTCACCTGCGGTGCGTGAGGAAGCTGCCGCTGACGTGCCCTGAGCCGTCGCATCCGGGCGTGGGGCACGACATGCCCTCCGTCTTGACCGACTTCCAGGAGAACTGGGAGCCATTGAGGTACCCGTCCTTCTGCCGCTTGGCCGCCAGGGGGCAGCCCGAGGCGCTGCGGTGCGAGGCGTACTTGCCGGTGATGTGGCCTTGGCCGTCGCAGCCGGGGACCGGGCACCTGAGGGCGGACACGGGAGACACACCTTGCTGCCCCGCCGCCCCCGCCCGGCGGCCTCCGCAGCGACGCGGGAAGCGCCTGACACGGAGGAAAAGCTACACGCGCGCAGGCGGGAGACAGGGAAAAGGAGCGAAACTGGGGGGCTTCCTAGGGGGCGACGGGCGCTCCGTCCCCGCCGAGCCGCCCGCGGCCAGCGCCGGCCGAGGCCCCGCGGGGGGACGGGCCGCAGCTTCCACGGCGGAAACACGCAAAGGCAGTGGGGACGGCGGGCCCTGTGGAAAGGCTGTCCCTCGGGAGCTTGAAAACACGACTCCGCGTGGCCCTGTTCTCTGGAAGCCACGGAGCGCCCTTCCCGCCGGACGCCCCCGGCCCTGGAAGGGCGTCAGCGCGGACGGCGCCGCGGGGACGCCCGGGGACGAACGAAAGGGCCGCTGCGGGCGCGAGGGCGCGGCGACGGCCCCTCCCGCGGGCCGCGGGCCACCGCCCAGCGCCTCCGGCGGCTCGGACTCGGCGAGTCCGCGTCCACGGCCCCACGGCCCCACGCTGGCGGGCTTTGCCTGCGTTTCTTGAAACCCGTAAAGTTACATGCTATAGAACTTGTATTACCTATTTACTTTGGCTCATTTTAATTTACTTTAGTAGTTTTTGTGGTAATTTTTATTTCGTCTGAAATTTTTTTCTCCGACGACGCGGAGTGCGGTTGAAATTCCAGGTCTATCGGAGTGGCGTCTGAGGCCCGCGCCCCGGAGCGTGTGGGCAGCGGCCTGCGTGAGTGGGAGGGCGGCGCCGGCCCCGCGCGGGGGGCCCGGTCCGCCTCGGAGCGCGCGGCTCGGCGGCTCTCACGGCCCGAGCGTCGGCACAAGGTCCGCTCTGGGCGCCGGGTTTTTGTGTCTCCGAAGACTTCCCCGAACCTGCCTCTCCCTGTAAATAAACGGCTCTCTCCTCCCGGGGGCGGCGGGAAGTCTCCGGCGGCTACTCATTCGGGACATCCGATGGGGGGTGTTCGCTTATTTCGTCGCCTGTGACCCAGAGCATTCGCTGTGGTTCGGTTTCCAAGGCCTGACCTCGCAGGTGGCGGCCCTCCCAGAGCGGGCCCGCCCCGCCCCGCCCCGCGCGCCCCGCCCCCGCGCGCCGACGGCCCCCGGCGCCCCGCCCCCCGCCCCCCGCCGCGCGCACCTGATCGGCTCCTGGTCCTCCTTGTCCTCCTTGCTCTGTGCTATCCGGATGCCGCTCTTCTTCGCTCTCGGGCAACCTGAAAGGCTGAGGAAGGAGCGCGCCTTCAGAGCGCGCAGGCGCGGCGGCGCTCTGGGGGCTCCTCTCCAGGAGCCTGCGCTCCCGGCGGGAAACGAGACTGGGGGCGGCCCGGGCGCAGCCCCGGCGTGTGCTCCAGGGCACGTCCCTCCGCGGGGGTGGCCCGGCGCTCCCGCCAGCCTGCAGTCCCCGCAGACCCTCCGCCGCGGGCCTACCCGCCGGCCGCTGGCTCTCTGATACCCCTTCCTGCCATGTCCACGCTCGGGGGAGCCTAGAGGCACCCCTCCCGCCAGCCGAGCGCTGGAGCCCACGAGGAACAGAGCCATGTCCCACGGACCCCACTGCCCACCGGGGCCCCAGTTCGGAGCCCCTCGGCGGCAGTGGCGGCAGCAGCCGCCGCAGGCCCGCGGACCAGGAGGGAGCCCGGGGTGCCCAGCGACAGGCACAGGTCTCCCCGTGCGGCCCCCGGCCCCGCCCGCACTCCGGGGTGAGGACGCGCGTCCTGTCCCCGAACGCGGACCTGCGACGGGAGCCTGGACACGGGCGGGTGCCCCGGGCGCTGGCAGAGGCTTGGTCGGCAATCTCAGAGCCTTTACTGCCGCTTCGGTCTGGCTCTGCGACTCCTTCCTTTGGGGCCAAGTCTAAACCCCACAGTCGCTTCCGGTTTGAGCGAGGCCGCCGCTGCCGCCCGGCGCCTGGGCCGGCGCAGGGAGACGTCCCTCGGGCCTGGGGGCGGCCGTCTCGGGGGCGGGCGGTGGTGCTGAGCGTAGCTCGGGCTCCCGGGAGGAGCTGGTCTCTGGCGCTGGGGCTGCCTGTCCTTCCTCAGCAGGAGGACTCTCCTCCCTGCGCGGCCGCCCAGGGCGTGCCAACAGCAGGCGTGAGGGGACTCTGCCCTCCCCACGGACCTCTGGGGGTGACTTGGACCGCGGTTAAGCTGGGTGTCTGGCCTCAGATAATGGCCCACGCTTCCCACTGGAAATCTGAGGCCCGGGTCCCCGCGTCCTCCTGTTCTGCCCGCCCCACAGCCCCCCGTAGCCCGGCTGGCTTGTCCCGGCCACCGCCGGGCCCAGGCACCTGCACCAAGCCTTCCGGACGGCGCCCTGACCTCCCAACCGCACCGGACGCTCCTGCTTCTCACCTGCGCTCCTCTCTGCTGACAGCCAGCCCTGCCCCCACAGGCTGCCTGTGGTCCCGAGAGCAGAGGTTAAACCTCCTCGTGAGCTTGGAAAGACCCCTGGCGCCGCGCTCCATCGGCAGCCCTGCTCCGTGCTGGCGCGGAGCCGGGCCAGGCGGACTGGCTCCCCGGCTGGGGACAGCCACCGAATCCGCTGTTGCTGCTGCCCCCCCGCACTTGTGCTGAGGCTGTCCCTTCGCTGCAAAGCCCGCCCTCGCTGTGACCCCCGTGGGCTCCTGCCCTTCCGCACTCAGCTGGCACTGCCGCCCCTCCCTGGCCGCCCGCCCTGCCCAGGGCCACCGCCGCCTCTCCTCCCGGGTTTCTGCCTCAGTAACTCTGCGTCTATGTCTGCGTCTCTGTCTTGTTTTTGCGTCTCTTCTCTCCCTTAATAGTCTTTTCCTTGAGGTTAAGAACATCTCAATTTCCACTGTTCCTTAGCTCTCGGCCCAGTTGTTGGGCCAATGAGTTTTTACTGAATTCACTAGGTCTCTGGAGTTCCCGGCTGGCTTTTGCAATTAGGTTGTAAGTGACGAGCAGCTTCCTAGACAGGACCCACACTTCCCACGACCTGCTCTTGCTGGCGTGGGGCTCCTTACGCAGCTGCGTTTTCACCAGGAATCATGTGTTTTGGAAACGCTGTTGGCCTTGGAGAAGCCTGCCCTTCCCTGAGGGGAGCCTCCAGCCGGAGGGTGCGGGGGGGGGCCCAGCGCGGCCGTGGCCGCGGGAGACGCGCCTTGGAACTGCCAGACCAGAGGCGGGGCCCGCGGCCATTGCAGCCAGAGCCCCAGGCCGGAGGACCACTGCGTCCCTGTCCCTGCGGGGTCGCGTCCACGTGGCAGAATCCCTTGTGAGGTGGGTGGATGTCAGTTCTGAGCTGCAGCCACGACATGGCCTTGCCTCCCCGCCGCTCAGAAGCGGGGTGACTGAGCCAGACAAGCGAGCGAAGTGGGGGCCTGGGGGCCTGTGCTGGGGCCACTGGGGAGGCGGAGACACAGGCCTGGGGAGGCCAGGGAAGCTGCGAAGACGCCTGGAGGCGGACCTTGGAGGGGGCCCGTGCGTGTTGCGTGAGGACAGGAGGGCGAAGCGGACCCCACAGCGAGGAGGACTCTCTGGTCGCCTCGCCGGGCGTGTCGGGGAACCGGGGCGGGGGCAGCAAAGCACGGGCGGTGGGTTTTCTACAGAGCATCACAGTCAGTCGATAAATATGGAGTGAAGTGAACTTGGGGAAGTTGCAGAGATGATGCAGAGACTAAAAAACCACACCGCTGGTAAAACCGAGAGAAAAGCAGGCACCGGACCGCCTGTCGGGATGGACCATGCTGCCCGCGTCCTTGGCGACGCTCCGGCCCCGCCGCGCAGCCTCTTGCGGCCTCAGCCTCCCCCGGTGCGCGGCCGAGTCACGGATCAGCCGGTGTGGCTCTGAGAACCCCAGGGGACAGCACCCGTCCTCAGGGAGCGCAGCGCAATCAACGCAGGGGCTGAGCGCGCCCAGTCAAGCCTTCTCTGGCATTTGCACTGGGGGCACGTCCCCCGCGCTCCTGGGAAAAGGGCTGTGGTGACCGCCAGGGCGTGTTTGCGCTTAAGCCTGTGCCCTGGCCCCGCAGGCCAGGCAGGGTGTCGGCGTCTGAGCTCGGCTGGGGCTCAGTGAAACGGGCTCGGCCAACCAGGCAGCACCTCCGCTGCCCCGCATCCTGTGGCGGAGTGGTCACCAGCATGCACGCCGCCACCGCGCACTCTGCCTGTCGTGGGCTCCCTGCGCTGGGGCTGCCCCCGGCCCCTCCAGGGGCGGAAAGCCAAATCCAGCCCGCGTGCTGCTCTCTAGCGAATCCTCGTAGGATTCACGGGCTGATGCTGCAGCGACACTCACCATCTAGGACCCAAGTTAAGTGAACAGTGTTTAAACTGCATTATACCTGATACCCAGCAAAAGCAGTCAGTGAAATCAGACTTTGGGCAGGAAGTGACCGAAGCGTCCACTTTCCGTTGCGCGGACGGTATTGGATGCCGCAAGACCCGGCCACACGAGGACTGGGAGGCTTCTCAGAGAGGGGAGACTAAAGCGCGGCGTGGACTGTGCCTGACTTGGACCCGTAACCGGGCCTCCACGTTTGGTCTTACTGCATCTACTCGAAGCCAGCGGCCTTACTCTGGACACTTTCTGGAGGTGACTCTTGTTCTACAAAATGCAGTGGCTGTTCGGGACTGGCAAAACCAGGCCGCCGCCCCGCGGCTTGTCCAGACCCGCGGGTGGTGGCGGTGGCCCTGGGGCCACTGGTGATGTCACGAGAGGCCCCCGCGGCAGAGACCCGTCCAACCCAGGAGGCCGGTAGCGCCGGGGGGACCTGCTGGTCTCGGGGGAGGGACCGGCCTCGGGTGAGCAGAGAGGCCCGCAGGGCCGCAGGGCCCAGTCCTCTCGGGCCTCCACACGCCGCCCTTCCACGGGCCCGGGCCGCACACACTGCGCTCCCGGCGGCTGCGAAGTGGCTCCAGAGGCGCGTGACTCGCAGCTAGGTCCCACTGAGGAAGGGGACAGGGCGGCCAGCCAGCGAGCGGCCCTCGGGCAGCCACGGGTACACCTCTGACCCACCGCCCGCGCCCCAGGCCCATGCGAGCGGCCCTGCTATGGTGGGCAGTAGCCGGCAGGTGGCCGACACGCTCGCTGTCCTCGCTCTCCCTGTCTTTGCAGGGGCACTTAAAGCGGGAGAGCTCGCCCGCGGTTGGACGGCCGCCTCACCGTCCGGCACGTGGCCAGGGACAGCCAGCAGCTGACTGACCGCTCAGCCCTTCTGTTGTCACGTGCAGCCCCGCAGTGGGCGGAGCCACCGCAGCAGCAAGCTAGCCCCGTGCGCAGGCGTCGGGTGCCCAGTGCCCGCACGGCGCAGCGCTGCTCTGCGGGCCCCCGTGGACCAGGTGGCTGTGTTCCCGGGCAGGGCGTACGGAGAAAGGGCGGCTTCAGCGGAAGCCCAGCCCCACGTACCTTCGGTGGGAGGCGTAGTTGCCGGTGATGTGTCCGGAGCCATCACAGCCAGGCGTGGGGCACCTGCCATTAAAAACACAAATTGGGCTCTTTACTCGAAAGAAATGAACACCCCGAACAAGCAGCTCTCTCATTTCTCCAGAAAACAAACTCCCGTTGACACTCGAGCTCCCTGTGCAAGGAGGAGACGCGCGGCCGGGGCTCCGGGGCTCCCTCGTCACCGCCACGGCAGCCACTGCGCCGCCGTCTGTCCCCTCTGACAGCCGTGCCCCTGCCCCGTCGGGCTGGGAGTCCGGCTGCAGGCCGTGCCGCAGGGCCTGTTACACGCCCCGCGCGTGCGGAGCAAGGTTTCCCAGCAGACACCGTGCACGCAGCGCCACCCCAGGCCCTCCGCTCTGACCCTGTGCGTCCCTGGCTGACAGGCAGCCCAGGCGGCCGGGTGGCGGCAGCGGGGCCGGGGCTGTGGGGCCTGGGCCCACCTCTCAGACCACCGGCACTGATCACGGGTATGATCTCCCGTGAACCCTGTTACTTCTGACTGACCCAGCGGGGCACAGGCCTGTCTCCATCCACCCGGCCCGGTAGGCTGAGACGCGCGGCTCAGGCCCCGGCCCCCAGCTGCCTCCCTTGGCCCGCCCAGCCCACGCCCGCCGGTTTCCCGGCTCCCGCGCCGCACTGCTCTGATGGGGAGAAGGTGGAGGAAAAGGGCGCTGTGGTTATTCCCTCCACCTAACTTCTCGGCCGTGTCCTCTCTGAGTAACCAGACAGCACTGCAAAGCCATTTTAAGTTATTTCAGTTGCTTTTGTGCCTGCCAGAAATGTAAAAATTAAGGGCGAAATCACAGATTTTAAGGGTGTAACAGATGCATACTGCTTCTAAGAGCTTCCATGGTGCTTCTCCCTCAGAGGGTCTCCCTGGGTCCTGGGTCAGCAAGTGACGTCCCCAGAATCTGACGAGAGTGGGGGCAAGGGGTGGGGTCCTGAGGTGGGACGGCCTTCAGCCGTGTGAACGCCTCATGTTGACACTTGGGCACATGGACAGTTTTTGGCTCTTAGAAACTGTCAAATTCTGCCTTAGGCCCGGCGAGGGAACACAGTTTCGGGGCGCAGAAACCGACAGTCACCACACCACGTCACAGGCCAAAGCTTAGTCCATGGCTCGTGCTGTGGGGGTTAAAAAGTAACTGCATGAAGCAGGAGCGGAGAAGCCCTGGGTGTGTGCACGTGGAGCCGGCATCCTGGACACGGGGCCCGAGAGAGGGCAGCGCCGGGCGTGAGCAGGGCCCACGTCTCTCAGCGACCACCGGCATCTGACTGTGGGCCTGGCTTTTGTGGAAGCGGCAGCAGCCTGTGCTTGATCCCAACGCTACTCTGTCCGTCACTAAGTAGTTGTTTTCTAAATAACGACTTAAACAGCTGATTTCCCAAATGGTGCCTCACGTGGACGCACGGACCTGCACCCTCGCTCGGAGCGGCCCCGAGGGAAGCCGACCCCCACGCCCGTTTCCCTCTTGAAAAAGCAGCGAGAAACGGGACGCTTCCCGCTGGCCGGCGACACACACGTCGGTCACCTTGCTCTTTGCTTAAAAAAAAATCCTTCAGCTCCTCCTAGTTTAAGCACTTAGTGCATATTTATTTAAAATTTATTCGTTTTACCATGAGTATAAATTTCTTCATAAGCCTTTTTTGATGGGGGAGGGAGGTTGACATTCTGTTTAAGTTTAAAGTGATGATGCATTACAACCAAAATCACACAAATAAAAACCAGATTTTACTAACTGTAAAAAAAGAGGGAGATTTTTGGAGTAGTTTTTGTGTGACTGAGCCATTTACAAATGCGTCATGTGATTTAAAAAAGGCATTTAAAAAGTGCCTTATCACCACAAAAACAAAGTGCCGACCTAACTCAGGTTCAGAGCTTCCGGTCGCTGGCGGGAAAGGCCTCCCTAGAAAGGGCCTTGCCCTCTGAAAAGGCCCGTGTGTCTCCGGGGCCCCAGGTCGGACAGACGGGGTCCGGACCAGGGTGCCCCTCGCTGGCGGCGCGACTCCCCCTCCTCTCCCGGGGCCGACCCCGGTCTGGCCGGTGCTGGGGGTCCCTCCTCCCTCCTCCCGCACTGGGCCCTGCGTCCCCCTGCGACGCCGTGTGCCCGCCCTCCGGTGGCGCTCTGGACCTCAGAGGGCAGCCCGGGGTGGCTGCCCAACTACTCTGCCTTCTAACCGCCCTGCCTACCTGTTCTATGTTAATTAATGTTCAAGACTTGAAGGCATGTTAAAGTCTTATAGAGAGTTGTGCGAATTTCCTGGCTAAGAAACCTCAACATTCAAAACTAGTTTTCCGGCCGGTGAGGGCGGCAGCGACTGCCGCCCTAGTGCAGGGGTCTCCGCCTCTCTGCGGAGGCGGCGCAGGGCCCCGGTGATGGGCGGTCACGGCCGACAGACAGCTGAGAGCGCATCTCTCCCACGCAGGGAGGCCCGCGTGGGCCGATCAGAACCCCGAGGCTAACAGCAGGCGGCAGCGTGGGCCGCGCAGCTTGGGCTGGAAAGGGCAGAAGGGATGGCTGGGTTTCCATGGAAACCCCCGACAGGCAGGCACCGGTTCTCAGCGGTGAAGCGCTGGGGCGCCCGGAAGGCCCAGCCCTGGGCTCTGCTCGCTGCTGGGCGTTGTCGCAGGCAGCGGCGCGGGCGTCTGCGGCGCGGGATGTGAGGACGGGCGGAATAAAACTCTTGCTTCACGTGGTCGCACTCTTCCACTCGAAGGCCCTATTGGTCCAGCCGCCCTGAGAAAGCAAATGAATCCCTGTCCCTGCCGCCTCACGGACACATTCAAGACAAAAACGTCTGGGACCCTGTCTTACATGTCAGCTCGCATCTGCCCTGGGACTGAGGAAATGCAGAAAGGAAGGGATCTGGGCACTGCGTGTCCTTATCCGGCCAGGAAACCAGCCCTGGACAGACGTTTAAGAACGGCAATGAAAAAACGGTAAGAAAAAGCTTTACATGTGTTTGAATTTTGAAGTATCCAGACCACATCTAAAATATATATACACACGAGGACTACCCACAAGCTCGGGCCTCGCAGCGATGAACCAGCCCCTCGGGCAGGGACCCACGGGGGCGGCTGCTGTGGCAGCTGCCAGACCTCAGAGCCCGAGCCCGGAGCCCCCAGGACACCTTCCTGCTCTGGCTTCCTCTTTCCAACCTGGACCCACGTAGGAGCCATCGCCGGTCACACCTGCACAGAGGCCGTGGGACATGTTCCCTGCCACCAAAAAAGAACTTACTGCCTATGCATCTAGCCCCGCGACCATGAAAACCCTGTAACACTGCGCTGGCACACAAAAGCGTGCCACAAAAGCGTGGCAACAGGTGACTTGCTTCTCAGGTTCGCCCCTGGTGTGCCCTCCAGCAAGATCGGTGACCGACGGCCGTGGCTGCAAGCCACAGCCTGAGACAGGGAAGCAGCACAGCAAGAGCCGAGTCTCCCCACTGGAGTCGCGTGGTCGCTGACTGACTCGAGAGGCTGCCCTGCGGCGCCTCCCTCCTATCGCATCAGCTCCTCTGTGTTTAAAAAATAACTACGAGAATTTAAGAAACGGCTATATTAAGTAAGACATCTGGAATGTGAAATCAAGTTCAGAGTCTCGTCACGGGAGTCCGAAAGCACCGCCAGCACGTCCGGGCCACACGGGACTCGTCCGCGCAGCCGGCCCCGCCTGTGAGGCGGCCTCGCGGACGGCCCCGATCGGGGCACAGCAGCTGAAGTACCGACAAAGCCTCACTGTCTGAACCGACACACGAAGTGCCAGGCTGATGCGCTCCGAGCTCTTTGCGGGCGTCCGTGGAGCACGACCTCACCCGCTTCTCCGCCCCTCTCAGCAGCTCTATCAGGAGAACTTACTACGTGGAACACAAGATGTGAAAAAATACAGTATTTTCTTACTGCCCTCGATTTTCAAAGAAATCATGAAAATGTAAAATTAAACTTTGTCTGTAATCGCAAAATCTCTTAGTAAACTGATCCAGGCCACATATATATGAGCCTTTGCTCCATTTATATAAAAAGTTCAATTCAAAACTTTTTTTTTTTGCCTAAAGAGATATAAATCCAGAATATATTTCTCTTTTTTAATTTTTTTTTCTGTTTGTTCAAAAATAAATAGAAGTAAAAAGTGAAAAGCACAAGGTCCGGCAGAAGCGAGGCCTGCGCGAGTGCGGCTGGGAGGGTGCTAATACGCGTGTGGCGGTCGTTAGCTTTAACTTGAACGTTGCGCCTAGAACAGTCACCGGATGTGCTTGAGTGTGATACTGCTAGATACACACCTACCTGCTTCTGATTCTGTAAGAGAAGATTTTGCAATAAAAAGCGGTGTTGTTTGTGCCAGACCCTGTATTTTAAAATGGAAAAATCGTATCTACTGGTCTCTATGCTGCCGTTCTCTCTCCAAACAGAGAGAAACCGGGCCTCCTAGCAGCAAAGGTGCAGCGCCTCTGCCCAGCCTCCGAGACGCGCTGCCCGTAACTCAAGGAGAGACGACGCCGTGGGTCCTAGCTCCACCTGTAAGACAGGCGACAGCTTGCGATGCCCTTGAGACGCACTGCTTAGGTCTGTGTGTGCTGAGTCGCTCTGCCCTCTCTCCCTCCTTGGGACCCGGGGGAGGGGCCCTGGCCGCCAGGCTCAGGACGGCCCGGGTCCTGCAAGCCGGCGCGTTTCAACGCAGACGCCAACCTGTGGACGTGGGCAGAGCCGGGGTGGGAGACGGCTTTCTGGTTATGTTACATGCAGACAGAAACCACCATTCTCTTTGGTTCTAAGTGCTTTCTTTTAAAATTACACTAAAAAACAAACATATAAATGGAAAAGCATTTTAAAAGTACCCTCAACATCATTTAAAAAACTTTTGTTTTGGTGATTCAGCCGACATGTGCAACAGATTAGGCCTCAGGTTACTAAGGCCGGGGAGGGGCCGGTGCGGTCAGGGCGGCCGGGGGACACGGGGCATCGGGTGGGGAGCGGGGCTGCTCGGTCAGGCGCCCCCGTGATCGGGGGCGGGGACCGGGGTACA